TTTCAGGCGTCCAGGCGCCATTGGAAATGATGTCGTGTGCGTCATGGCGCTGCCACATCATCCGAGTGTATAACAAGGGTGCGTCGTGAGTGGGCAGATCCAAACGCACGCGGTAAAGCGGAGACAAAACACGCTCTGGTTATTAGTTTGCTATCATTTCGGCAAGATCTGTTTTGTTGATATATATATATATATATATATATATATATATATATATATATATATATATATATTGTATCTGGCAGTGCTGCTACTGGTGAAACACAACAACCTGGTCGTAATAAAGTACGCATAACCCTCGCCGGGCGATGTCCGGCTCCCCCTTTCCCTCCCTCCCCCTCCCTTCCCCCACCCCCTCTCACCCCACCCGATCTCCACCGGCGTCTCCCGACGGAGACGACGGAAAAAGGGATTAAAGACGTCTTGTTGAAATGTTGCAAGCTTGTGATGGATTAAACGCGTGCGTTTTTCAACACAAGAAAAACATCGGTCGCAGGTCCTGTCAGATTCTGAAGATTCGTCTCGGCCGGAGGCCTGCGGACTGGGCTTTGCAGCAATTGTCTTTGCTGATCATTGGGAGGAAATTGTACTTTTGGGGACAACATGAGCATAGAATGAAGTACAAAGTTACAAAGTGCAGTCTACAAGTACGAAAAACCATGTTGACATCTTGTGTGCGTGTATTTAATAGGTTGTGTGCTTGTAGCTCATTCACAGTTTGAGGCCAAACGAGTCCAGTGACCTGTGGGTTATACCCGTGTGGCCAGAGACGTGCGCTATGTGCTCCGTAAACTTGATTTTTGGGCTTTTTGCTCGCAAGCATTGATGGCCAACACCGAGGCTCACAAACACTCTTCCATGCTCGTGCGATTTTGAGCGGCATGAGTTTGGACATTCAAATTAGGAACAAGCTGGCGGGTGATAAGGGGATACTTGCGTGCACCCCGTGAAACTTTAGCCGCTCGATCGCGTAACTACAATTTGTAAAGTCATGCATACGGTGATCTATAATTCGCGCAATCAGTACATGCGATAAGCACCCAGCACCAGCAGGACAGAACAGCTCGGGGCACACACACACCTTTTTTGGAACACCTCTGCTGTGACAAAAAGACTTTCTCTACCAGCGTTGAAATTCGGATGCTTGGTGGGGAATATACTTTCCAAGCAAGGGTGGGGTAAGGTTGCTGCGTAGTGCCGGCGGCTGACTCCCACGCATGACCGCCGGCGGAGTTCTGGGGATTGGTTTCTTACCGCGACGAGGTGAACAATCTGACGTACGACGTTAGGAAGCCATGTCCAATTTGGTTTTAACGAGTTCTACCTGGATTGGCCAATTTTTGCCCCTTTTAATTAGGCTCAGGTAGGTGAGCTGGGTATATTTTTAGCGACGTGCTCGCGCGCTTGTGCTCCTGCTCCAGGTGTTTTGCGACGGATTGTTTCATGCATCGGGGGACCATCAACAAGTATCTACTGTACCAGTCGGTCAGAGGCGTTGTTGGCTGGCGTATAGTGCAAACATGGGGCTTCAGGTGTTTTCCACATAATGCTGCCGACACGCTCTCAGAAATGTTCAAGACCCTTCATGCTGTTTATACTAAAGCGGTCCCACCAGGCGAAATGCATGTCAGTGCCAACGAACTTTAACTTATATCTTCATGCACTTCTCGTGCAGGAGCGCAGGAACTGCTGTTGACGTGGAAGGCTGAGACCTTACGTTCTGAAAACTTGGCGTTAGTCCTGCAGACGTTGGCAAGAGGGCACTAACCAAAAGTTCCTGCCGCTCTTCGAAGCTCCAACTTCTAATGTTCCTGCACTCGCTTTTTTACTCAACGCGCCTTTGCTATGGGAAATGCTTACATTAGTTCAATTGTTGAAATTGGAATGCAAAAACCGAACGTGATAGAGAACTTGCTCAGCAAGCGGAGACGGCAAAAAGGCAAGGGCCAAAAATATATCTAGCTCTGGTGGAAAATTGCGTGCTGAGTTCTGACGGGAGCGGTTCTCAGCATTCAACCTTCGCCTGCGTGCAGGGAAAAGCCAATCGTCTCGGCTTGCCGAGCAGTCTCTTAATCACGTTCGGTTATAAATAGGTAATACGACACGGCTGCACCACAAGGTTATACCACGAGGCAGGCGTGGAGATAGCACACGAGGAAATTCCGCTGTGTGGTAAGACTGTCTTTAACCTCTGGTGAAGTAGGTCTCGGTATTGTTTAGTCCCAGCATTCTTTGAAGACATGCTGAAGTATGTAAAAAGTTTTAAAAGTTAAGTTAAGCAATTGGTTTGAAACTGCACCGATCGGTCGGTGCTAGTAAAAGAATGACATAAAATTGCTGTGAAAAATACAAAGGGTGCCACGTATATATTGCTGCAACCACGTGTAACGTGTATATTGTGTAACCACGTCTCGAGGTTGGTTGGGACAAATCAGAATCAAAATTGTTGGGTCAAGCTTGAATCATGACGACCTGACATGAAATATCATTTCTAAGACAGAAACGTGAAAGACGGGCATTTGTTGCGCAGAGTTGGAAGGGACTAGGTCGCATTTTGTGAAAATTGACGAGGCGCAGCCCCCCAGCCCCCCCCCCCCCTCTCAGTACCACACTCTAAGCTAGAAACATTCGCAAACACTTGGCGACGGTGCTTTGTCATAATGCGTGTGTTAATGTCTGCGGGCTGCTCGCTTTCTAGGCTGCAGTGTTATGGGAACGTGTTCACCTTAACAGCCAATTACACCACTTGCACATACACCACGCACTGGTGTGCCGGCGATAGAAGGCTGAAACACGCGCAATGTGGACCAGTATTTGTAAGATCGCGTTTCTGCTAGGGCACGCTGAGTCCCATTGCATAAGTTACCATTCAATATTTGTACGTTGCTTGGGGTTGCAAGCAGATTTTACCGGGCAAGCCTCGTTTCAGTAACCATAAGGCTAGCACACAATGATGTTCCAAGTGCTGTTGAGCTGTTCATTGAAGGCTCGCTGTACGGTGGAAGATTGGTTACAGCACGCCTTTACACTGGACTTCAGCTTAGTTATGGGTGGTCATGTGCAACGGATGCCATCTTTATCGTTATCTTAGGAGCATACGGATAATGACTCGAGCTTGCTATATTCCCCAATTGATAACATCAGCACAGATTTTTTGGATGAGGCGATGTCGTAATATCCTGTACCATCTATTTGCACGCGAGACAACTATGAGCTTGTTAGAGAATTCACGCTGAGCAATGCCATCGTGAAATTAAATGATTAACCATCAGTACATTGTTCAGTGAATTTTTGAGGAACGTTATGTACATAAACAAGACAGTAGTAATAGCCTTATTACTCGAAGAAAAACCAGGGGAATGGAGATACAGATGTGTCGATGTTTTGGTAATATGCCTGTATTGAAACGAATAGCAGAACTAAATTTAATTAAAAAGCCTGCCTAAAAGAATCAACTTGTGCTGCCCGTTTTGATGAAGGCGCGTCAAAATATCAAGGCATGTAAAGATTATTTCCTTTTTTTCTTGGAGGAATAAGGCTATTACTACTGTGTTATATATGATGTCACCATGATGCTGTTGTTGGTCGCAATATTGCGCTTTGAGGAGGAAGGCATTGCCGATAGGCATGATGTCTGAAGCTCAGTGTTACAACTCCATGTGGTGATTCGGTGCGTTACCGTACCTCAATTACATCAATGTTTTCCGTCTAACGTATTGCAAAACATCGTGGCCGAAGCCAAGTCAAAGGTACTACGGTCTTAATTGGAGAAAAATACCGTAACTTCGTTTTCTTCAAATGTTTTTAAAATTTGTGGTTGGTCTTCAGCTGCTGTTATGCGGCGGCAGTCATGTGCTCATTGCTAGTTCTGGAAATTGGCATAGTGTCAGTCAAAAAAGCCTCCCTTCCAGGGGTGTAATTGTTTGGTCCCACTTCTGGAAAGGAATCTGAGTATGTCGTCCCTACGCCCGGTATCTTCAAATATTTGGCATAGCTCTTGCGGAAATTAGTGCACTGGCGCGCGAACTGGGGGAGGGAAATTATGGGTACAACCGCACCTGCATGCGTCTTATTTTCCGAACCTTAACCTGTGATAATTGCATGACGTTGTGTGGCAAATAATACCGAACGGTTTGCCGTGATTGTCTCCAGCTCAGTGCGTATATGTGTGTTAGTGGGATGTTGGTGTGTGATTGTGTACGTGCGTCCCGTGCGGTGCAAACTCTAGGGTGCTGCCATCACAGCAACACACCTAAATACTGAAGCGGGCGCTTTATTCTGCTCCTCAGTATGTTATGGTATTGCCGGTTAGTTAATAAGGCCTTAACCATTATACGCCCGAGTACGCGTAATCGCTTTGCGCCAAGTCTATATGTCGGAACGCGCCGCTCTGACAGTATACTGGACGCGCATTGACTAGGCATTCGGGACGCCTGAAAGCCTGAATCATCTTCACTGAATGAGCAGCGCTGCGTGACGGCCGGCGGCCATGCTGCCGCAGTGGAGCCGTCGCGCCGCCCGGTAACAGGGCGAGAACGACCGGCCGCTCGGGTCACGCCGCGCCCGTCCGCCACCGTGTGTACCTGTTACCCGGGCAATGGCGGCCGGGCGGCGCGGCGACGGCGGCGCCGCTCGCTCGCTCACCCAGGGGCGGGGCGAATGAATGAGCTCGGGGGGCGGCGCGGCTGGCGCGCGCTGCCCCGCCACCTGGGCATGAATGGACGCCGGCGCCGATCGATACGGCGCCGGCCGGCCGGGCCCGCGCGCCGGAAACAGCCCGGCCGGAAGCGTCGCCGCGGCCGGACGGAGTGGAGGCCCGCGCCCCGCGCCCGCGGCGCACCGGCCCCGCGCGTCCCCTGTCCGGCGCCCCCCCCCCCCCTCTCCCCACCCCGCGCGCCGGGCGCCCCCCCCCCCGGCCCCTGCCTGCCCCGCCCCCCGCCGCGTCCGCCGGCGCACGCGGCGGTCGACGGCGGCGGCGGCGGCAGACGCGCTGTGACGTGACCGACGCGCGGCCGGCGATGGTGCGTCCGACGTGCGATGGGCGACAGTGGTGAAGCCATGCTGGAGATCACGGAGAAAGTGAAACGACACCTGCGCCATCTCTCCAGCTCGAGCTCCACCTCCAGCGCGTGCAGCGCCTCAAAGTGGGTGACCGGGAGTCGACTCGCCTGGAGGTCATCATGGCAGGATGGGGCCGATAATTTTGTTCTGGACGCAGCAGTACTATTGGTTTTTTGGCGTGTGGCCTTCGGAAGTGGTTGTCATTTAGTTTGGCTGGTGTCGCTCGCATCTATATATGTGTTAGGTGGTCTGAGATATGATCATAATTTGTCATGCATAACGTTCCAATTACAAATTTTACAAATTATTCTGCTATTTAGAACATTTTTTGCCACATTTTTACACATAGCAGCTAATCTGCTAAATTATCAGCTAAAAAACAAATATTACCGTCGCGGCGTATGGTGGATAGTATGGTGCTCGATTAGCACATGTTCCAGATGCGGTTTGGTGTGCAACTTATGCAGAGGCAGGCGACTTTATTTTGTCAAAAACTTAACCGCTATAAAATGTTGAGCTTGCTTGAGTCTTAAAATGGGTATGTTTGCGACAAGGCATTGCCCTGGTTCACCCGCAATCCTATGCGTACGGTTTTTTATGTCTCTAAAGCAGTTTTCTGGGAATGAAATGCTCGTGGTATCTAACATTCCCCTGTATGCAGATAAGCATGCACGTCTTCAGGGTATTTTTGGCTCGATTTAGTCAGCGACATAACGCTCCATCCTGATGAAGCTTGTGGCGTACTGCGTATTTTCCGCGCAAAAGAAGCCACAATTTGTTTCGGGCATCCTTTTTAGGCTTGCGGTTTATTGCTCCCATCCGTCATTGGAGGCATGCATGGCTCAGAAAGGTCAGTTTCAGGTATTTCGTTCATGGACTGTCATGGACGAATGCTTCATTCTGTAGCGTTAAAACTGGCGTTGCGATGTAATGCATGCGTGTCAGATACCCTAAGAATTTGTTTCACTTTGAAAAAACGCATTAAGTTTTGGTGAAAAGATTGTTTAGCTTCTTTGGCAGTTTTATAGCGACCCATTCTTGGCATAGGCTCTTTGAATCTGCAGTGGCTGATATAGAAGATGGCTTTTAATTGGTTGAATCAGTCACGTCTGTCGGCTATGAGCCGATGGCAACAGAGTAACGAAGAAGATTTCCCAGCGTTTCCAACCAAACGCTGATAAATTGAGCGATTCCAAATAATACTCATGTAGGTTATGCTAGAGTTTGTATCTAATGCCAAGTTGGGAAGGTAAGATAATTATGTACGTGATACCAAAAAGGAAACGGATTGGGCCGGACGCGTTAAAAAGGTCATACAGCTGATTAGTATCATTGTTATGTTCGTCGTTCCTAAGATTCTAGCAGACGGGACGGTTCATTGACGCAATATTGGCACGCTGCATTAGATCAAAGTGGTAATGGTCAGTGTACTGGAGGCACGCACAGTTTTTGAGTGGGTGTTGGTCTTTATGACTGGGCTACATGTATGTGTAGTTTTGTTTTCGTTGCCGAGTATACAACAGTGTTGAAGGCAATAAGCTGTTTTTGATGGGATAAAAGCAGCCATTATCCCGGCTGCCGTCGGTGCGTGCCCTGCTGGTGGTACCGGGTCCTGCTGGCCCCCGTGCCCTGCTGGTGGCATCGAGTCTAGTGTAACCTCAGCGGATGGCCGGGTGAAATTCCCAGCCAAGGGCGTCACACTTCCGTTCGCAAACGGACGTCTGATTAAGCGAAACTAAAGCTGGTCCGATTCCCAACCGCAGCGCGTAGGCAGCTGTAGCCTCACCGGCTGGCCGCAGCTGTCGATGGATGGGGGATCGAAGTGTTACGCGAACTGGACTTGTTTCCGGCGCATGGGCCGAAACGGTACGGTCCAAACCCAGCGTGAGATGTTTGGCTCCATTGAACTCGCCGAAGGAAGGAGCACGCGCACCGCTAGCGACCGTGTCACGGCCTGGCTGCTGACGTCACAAATCCACCGAAGTACGACGGATACGCCTGTGGCAAGCGTGTCTCATAGGTCGGCGGACCTCCAGTTGGGTGAAGCCGGCGTCCAGACCACAGGATGCTTGGTGGCTTATCGAGGAGTGATAAGTTTTCAGGATTTTCGAGCCCGATTTGTCAGTCACACAATTTGTGTGACTGAATTTGCAAAGATGAAAAGGAAAACAATCATGCCCTGTTCGAACTTGACTGCGCGCGGTGACCCCGAAGTGGCTGCTGCGCACAGTGACGCGTCTCCGTAGCAACATCACTCTTCGTTCTTTTCCCAGTGATTTTGTGCATGTCTTATGTGCATGTGTGCATGTGATTTGTGCATGCCACTCTGACACCCGACTGCCGACATCCGGGCTGGTTTGGACCCGTGCAGTGCCGACGTATTATAACGTGAAGTTTTACGCATCCCGCTGTAATCAAATGGGATGAAATGGGATGGTTACTTTTGGTCGTGTCGGAATGCTTCAGATGTGCGATGCTCCAATGTTTTGGTATGCCTGATCAAAAAGCATGCGTTCAAATGCATTGAATAATGCGGTTCACCTCGTACACACAATTATGCTAGTTGACGGTTAGTCATCTGGCAGTGTTACATGGTACCTGGAACAGTGGTCAAAATATTGTCTGCTTTTGTATCAGTGCAGTCCTCATAATGGCGAAGTTCCTCAAATGTTTCTAAGGTATTTTCACTTATGAAACCCCACCTTTTCAATTGTTGCATCTTACTGTTTAGACGCACACAATATTGTTAACCTTCAGCGTTTTTTTGTGGCGTCACCCATCTACCGCCAGAGAATCCGCTGGAGATTGCGTTAGCGTTACACCACTCCAACCGCACAGACTGTATGTTTATCTGTTGAAGACTGCTCAGCACTGGGTTCTCGTTTTGATTCAGGACTGTTTGTGCTCCCACCGCCTCGGAATCGCGCAACATGAGCGTCGTGGGCCATTGGCACACTTCTGGTGTGGCGCGGGGGGATTTTCCCCAGAAATGGGCACGCGCCGGCGTCCTTCCCTGCGAGGTCGCCGTCGCCGGCCATTGTTTTGGCACCGTTAGGGGAGGCATTTTGGACCCATTCTTTTCATTCAACTCCGCAGGCGTTACGTTGTATTTCCAGGTAATGAAGCGCCGTCGTCCCCCACGTCCCCGTGTGGCGCTACCCCCGCCGAGAGTGCCTGGGCGGCGCCGTCCGCGAAGCAGCAGTTGCCATGACACAGGCCGACCGCGGTGCCAAGACCAGCGGGCGTAAGGCGCAACGTTCCCACTATTTCGGTATATCCGTCGACCGTTGGCCGGCTTCATAAGCCTTCGTAATTCGGAAATTGGCCGGGCTATTTCAATAGGCGGGCGGCGGCTGAGTGTGCCGTCCGGCGGCGCCGCTCATTTGGCCGGCGGCTAATAGGGGAGGCGTCCCGTCAGCCGGCGGCGGCGGCCCGAGGTCACGACCCGGCCTGACCGAACCGCGGCGGCCGGCTGGCTCCGCGCGAGCGCGCCGCCAGCGCCGGCGGCGACTGGTTGGCCTGGGGCCGGGGTCAGGCGGTGACGGCGGGCTTGGGGACGCGCCGCCACCGGGCGCACTGGTGCTCGCTGCCAGCTGCTCCGGCGGCGCGTTGATGACGGGTTTGGCGGGGCTGTTTGACCCGATGCTGAAGTCGCGCAGCCCGGGCCAAGTGAGCCGAGCAAGGGCTGCGCGGCGACGTCACCACCGCGCCGCGTCGGTGACGGGCCGTCCGGCGGGCCCACCGTCGTTGAACGGCGTCGGAGTCGGCAGGCACGGCGTCACTGGCGGCCCGCTACCCCCCGGCGATAGCGCTGTCACGGTTGATAACATTGCACGCGCCAAATGCCGGGAGGGTCTGTCCGTCTGACTCACCGCTGCGTCACACTTGATATGCGCACGTGGCGGACAGCGCGGCTTATTGGCCAACACGGCGGCTGGCGGGGCGGCCACCTACGCGTCAAGGCGCGGGCCGCCCACTAAGCAGCTGATACCCGCTAATGACGGGAAATCTGACCGAGTGCGCGCCGGCCTTATACATTATTGCTACGGATGGCAAGCGATCCAAGTGATATATCTTCAGCGCTGCGTTTGTGTGCGGCAGCCCACGCCACGAGCGCGTGGGCTGCTGCGAGCCGCGCGTCGTCTTATGTTCGGGGCCGTGATGGCGACTGCCGTCAATCCGGGTACCGTGTCGGACTCTGACGCCGTGCCCTCGGGGCTGGAGGCTCGGCCGTGGGGGTCACTCTGGCCACGGGAATCGAGGTGTGCTTACCACCCCGTGCAGAGTAGCCACACTGCTGCAGCTACAATCGCCGCCGCACCCGGACGACCCGTGCCGTGTCAATAGCAGGGCTGGCCGACGTCATTAATGGACCTCGTCCAAGGCAACGCCCACAAGCGAAACGTCTAGGCTCGTGACGAAGGGAGACATGCCCGCCCCCATTTGGCTGAGTCCGCGCGCATAGTCTGTTCCTGCAATCTGCCTGCCTGGCCGTGTTATCGGGGGTCCAGGAATGCGGGATCGTCCTTCAACGACTGATCTTGATGTTTGCGGCATGCTCCGCGGACGCGTCATGTCAAGCCTGTGGTAAATTAAGCCCTGCCAACGCGGATCTTTTTCATTCGGTGTCGTACCTGAGCTGTGGTATATTCATCGGACGCAATTTTGTGATGACATTGAGCCATATGCTCTGCCTTTTTCTAGCTATGCTGTAGTCTGTGCTTACTGACATTTGTAACCATAGAAGTGTTCAGTATTGTGGCCTCGTGCTGTAGCAGGTACAAGTGTATTTTTGTCCTGCCAGCTGTATCCTTGATCGTGTATTGGAGCTCCCTATTCAGACAGTATACACCCGGCTACTAACTTCGTAGAACAGACAGCGCGCACACCGTCGCTACTTGGCACTAAATGACTGTGGCAAGACATCACACATCAGGCTCGGCGGACTCAGCGTGACAGAAATAGCTTCCCTGATAACTTTTCCCCAGTCTGCCGGTTGTTGGACGCGCACAGTTTCTGGCGCTGTCCTTTGGCCGTGACGGTGTGCCGTGCTTGTCGTTCTCACAGAGTATGCCGTGACCGTACGACGACGCACGTAGGACGTGGCAGAGAATCTGTGCCGCGATTGCGTGAACGCGTGGCGCTCTGTATCTGTCGCAACTCTTCCGGTATGTTGGGCGCGGTCTCCCCGTCGTCGGTCGGCCGGGTATGCAGTTCCATCCACAGTCGGCGGCCATCCGGGCAGCTTTTGCTCACGGACGCCGTGTGACGCACTGCGTGGAGAAGCTCCTGGAAGCCCCAGGTCGGCGTCGTCACGGGTGGCGCGCGCTCCACATCCTCGCGAGGTGGCGCGTCGTGCCGTGTGCCGGCCACCTAAGTCCCGTCAGCGCGCGCCGGCGTCCCTGCCGCTGTGTCGCGCCGCCGCCGCCGCCGCCGCCGCCGCCGCCGCCGCCGCCGCCGCCGCCGCCGCCGCCGCCGCCGCCGCCGCCGCCGCCGCTGCGGCGGCCCGACCTGGGTCGGGAGCTGGCGACCGCTGACGCGCCGCGCACCTCTCTCTGTTGCAGCGGAGGCAGTCTGGTACTAGTGCAGGCCCAAGTGATGATGCGGGACGACAACATGGGCGGCTGGCTGCCGATGGGCGGCTGGGGCCTCTCCAAGGTCTCGGTGCGCAAGCGGCACCCGCGCTACGAACACGTCAACGCAGAACACCCGAAAACGGAGTACATGATCTTCGGCAAGCGCATCAACGACGGAGTGGTGAGTACCCGCCGTCTGCTGGCTGGTGCTCTTCGGGATGTGGCGGTGGGCGTGGCGCGCACCTGCCGGGCTCACAGGCGCCTGCTTTGGCGTCAGCAGAGCACGTTGAACGCCCAGGGCCACAGCTCGCCTGCTGTGAAGTGCTCACGATGCTCGCAGCTGAACGGCACGTGTGGAAATTTGGGTGAGGAAGGCTGTTATATAAACAATTTGTTGACAGATGTTGTAGCACCTGTTGAAGACAATCAAAGCACAGGGACGGGAAGGTAATAGCTGATGGTACTCCCCACCCTCAGCCTGTCCCGCTACCATTTGCTCGTCTAACTTAAAACAAGGCTCACTGGAATGCGATCTGCGTGGAGCATCAGCTCCCCCAATCATGCTCTGAGCAGGGCTGGCAGCAACCAGCTGTGACAGTTCCTGCCATCTTCTTTCTACCGGTTGAAATCGGCCGGCAGAAACTGTGGGTGCCGAAAGCCGGCAGAGACGGACAACGACTGAAGTCGGGCGGGGCATATCATCTGCCAATTTTGGGAACGAAGCAGCATGATAAGATCAATGAGGCATTATTTAGCATTGCCAGTGTTGAAATACCGGAGGCAGGTTGCAGGGAGCCTTCTGATGTGGCGGCACGTGTAGCTTGACAGGCCGTTCTATATGCCGAACGGCTAACGTTTGTAAGGGACGGGTACAGCGCAAGACAGACCGGATGTGCATAAAAGACAACAGAACAACAGGCGGCTGCGTCCTTTATGTCGCCCAGCGCCAGCAGTGCACACTTCGATGTCGTCGGCAGTAGAATTCCGAAGATTTAGTGTGTCATAGCACTAGCAGCGACTTTTCACGCACTGGGCGAGACCAACAGCGAACAGTGCAGGCAGTATCCCAGCGGCCAGCAGTAAGACAGTGTGCCGCGCGAGGTGAATCTTAACTGCGCAGCAAGCGGCAAGTGCAGTGTGAAGCTAGTCGGCGCGGGCCGAGAAGCGAAGCACTCTCCGACCGCGTAGCGGGGGGGGGGGGGGGGAACCTAGCTTTGACAGGCCGGCTGCTCGCCGGCGGCTCCAGTTATGATTGATATAAAGCGAGATTCAGTTAGGCCTTGAGTTTTCGTCAGCTGTTCATACCAGTTGTGATTGACTAAAAAACGGTGAGTGACATAAATTTGTTTCAACGTGCTGAAGTGGCGGGTCCCTTGTCGTTCAGATAAGGATGAATGCATCCAACTAGGTGAAAATGTCAGCGTGTTGAAACGCGTGGGTCCCGTATTTTTAACACTCAGGATGCATGTATCCAATCAGATGAGTGCGAAAAGCAGTGCACGTTCCGTTTGAGCTGTTCATGAATGACCCATAAGATTCTTTGGTTTCCTCATGCCAGTTGTCACACGGACACGATATAGCCATTGAAGTTGGCGCGACCCGAAGCCCAAATCATCATCACCATCTCAGTAATCATATGTAAATAATTGTGTTGTGTCGCATTTAATTAATGTGCGCTGTTCCCACGGGAAGATAGGAACGGCGCATTGATGCCTCCTGTCATTATCGCTGTTCTGCGCATCAAAACTCATTCAAAGTGCGCATCATTTTCCAACAGAAGTCCATGTCCCATTGAAGACGGCTTAAAAATACCTTCCACCGATACCGGTTGACAAGATGCTTCCGGATGTTTCCACATGCTCCTCTAGAGTGTACTGCTGCTGCATTTTAGATGTGTTTGCAGATTGTGCCGTATTCCCCGGATGTTGCCGATGCAACCGCGTACCTCGCTCAACGTATTGCCGGGCGGAATCCACCTAGTTGCTTCGAAACCCGTAGCGCTTCGCGTTTCTTGAGACGTGCAGTTTGCCAGAAGCGCTCGGCGAGCATAAGTCACGTGTCAATGGATGTGGATCTCCCGATGCTTGTGGTAGCTGTTGTTCTCACCCGATGAGCGAACGGCAGAGACCCGGTTAATGGAAGCCGGACGGCATGCGAGGAAGCGACGGCATGAGAGGCTCACGTCGCGCCAGTCCGGTGGAGTGGCTTACTCAGTAGCGACTGCCATTACGTGGTATGCGCCGGATGTGCCGTTGGCTCCTGGCACCGCTGGAAGGTATCGCCGACTCATTGCGCCACTGCTCCGTGTCACCTCAATGTTAACATATATTTTGTTCGTAACATTTTGCTTCTGAGTAAGGCCGTGGTAAATAGACGTGGTACGATCCCTCATCGTCGTGAACCACGTGGACACTTCTTGACCATCTTTGGTCACGAGGCTTACTTTTGTCTTTGAGGTCGAGGCACGCTGTTGACGTACCGGACGTCCAAGGCACCAGATTGCACCAGGAAGCCTACTGCCTCTTAATCGGTCCGATTTTTGGAACTGCTAGTGGGTTTTGGGCCTCTTGTTTGCTGGTGCGTTCTAGACCTTACCATGTTCTCTGATCTGTTGTAGCTCCTCCAGAGCTACGTTTTCGCATTGCACGCACCGTTAGTATACCCGACCTAAGCCAGACCTTATCTTTTTGATAATTCTCATCATTGATTGGGTTATGGCGAAAACCACGCATTGATCCGCCCGCGTTGCCGTTAGTGCTCCGTACGTCATCAATTGATCTGCATTATGTACAGAAAGATCACCCTTGTCTTTGCTGTAGCTAGCTAGAAACAATGGGAATATTAAAAAATGCATTCTGTTTCTCTGGCACCATATGTCCTCTGGGAAGTTCTGTGAATCCAACTTATGGAGGGAAACTACTACTAGTGAAACACCTTGTTTTTCCACAACTTTGGGCCTTTTATCTAAAAATGACTCCCATCATCCATCACCATCGCGTTGTGTACGGGATAGTGTCATGAGGCCCCACGCGCGCGATCGAGTCCGGTCCCTTGTCATAACATTCTCAGTGTGAGCACCAGACTATCACCGGTAATGCAGAACACTCGAAATGCGATTTGTGGGGCCTGCGGGCAGCCGCGGTGCCTTGTCTGATCATGGGCAGGGCGCACCGACTGCGAGGCCGTGCTCAAGAGCATCTGAAGAAACTACATGGCATGTGTCCGAGTTTGCCGGCTCGAAGCGAAATTTCCTGCGAGGAACAGGTCGATGATTATTATGTGTGGCAACAAACACTTGCTACTTGAGATACCAACCCGCATTGCATTGAAAATTAAAGACGTTATCAGTGTTGAGCGTAGCGTAACCAATAGCTTCTTATAATATGGAAATGTATTGATTACATGCTCTACCAGTCATCATAGCCCATCATTCTTAATCATATACCAAATTCATTGTTCGTACAAATGGAGGCTTGAGCATCGAGACTCCCCTTACAACATGCTCTGCAAAATGTGCCGCAAACTCAAGGAAGAACCATTGGCCTACTCAGCGTGCCTTTCCCTCGGTAAGGCTTTCCTAAGGCCGCGCTAGAGGTAGGGAAAGTGATTCGTCGGAGGTTGGGAAATCATTTGCATGAACAATAAAGTTACTTCGCTTGCGCGATCTCTACACTAGGGATAAACGTCTTTTTTGCCTTTCAAAACATCTTATACATAACAAACTAGTGATATGGTTGTCATCTGTCTCCTAAAACTGGTGGTCTTTCAAATTACCTATTTGATGCGTCGGTCAGAAAGATCAGGTCGATCAGATCGTCGTATGGCCAGATTGGTGCTGTTTGGTTGCAGTAAGCTGCCTCCGACCCCACCTCGGTGGCGTGCAGTAGCCGCCTGTGCACGTCTGTTAGCACGCCTACTGCTCCGTTTCTCCCAGCACTTGCCCACGACTAGGTCTCTGTCAAGCTGACCATCTCTCGTCGCTAGTGGCGCACTAATAACCTATACCATGGCTCGTAGATCATCCACCAGAAAGCTGTTCGGCTAACATTTTCCACGGCAAACCGCAGTGCGTCGTTTTTCGGCGGCGGAATGCAGGAGGTGCGGTAAGCAGTGATATGTCGGCCATGATCATGCTATATATGCAGCCGCGGCAGGCACGTCTGGTGTTTTTTAGCCTTGACGTGAGCCGAACGGGTGTAGGTCGGCGGACAAGTTGTGGCGATTCACACCTTGATTAGTGATGCACGACGGCAGGTGTGTGACCCCGTTACTGTTGTTTGAGTGCTGGGAGTAGGAAACATTTCATTCAGGGCGCTCCACACACTTGGTGTTTGGAAGCTTATTTGGCGCAAAATGACCTAAGTAGCCGACGCACCCTTAAATCCCAATCATCATCGAGACAGTGCTGTCACTTCATATAGCTTCGGAGAGGCCTGGAGCCCCTAGTAATTCCATCTGTTATAAAAGAAGAGATAGCACCACAATTTTTAAACTTACGTTTGGAACACCCAAACACTTGGGAAGGCATTGTCCAGGGTTTGAAGGGCAATTCTGAGAGATAGGGTAGTTTCTGTTCCTAAATTTGTGGTGTGGTCTCATTTGTCTTTTTTAAATTTTGTCTGGTACTGTAATTAGGCACTCACCACTTACGTCGCTGATAAGAACGCAAGCACCAAGTGGGGGACAACCATTGCAGCACTTTGCATTCCAAACCAAATCAAAAGTTGTTTTCACGACTATCCTTAGTATTTGTCCAACTTGATGACCTGTCCTTAATCAACTGGAAAATGCTCATTTTTTGTGAGTTGGCATAGCGGTATCGGAAAATTTACGTAGCCTATGCAACACAAATTTTCTGTGCGATGCGGCGCCTGCCTTGCATCCTGCCGTGCCTGGTTCATGCCTGGTGACATATTGGCTGGAGGCAGAGCCAGAACGGAAGCTGGCAATTCTCAAACTTGGCAACGGTGGTCAACGCGTTATCTAAACTGGTACCATGGTGCTCAGGTACACTCGGTTGACTTACGGCAAGCTTTGACAATATTTGCCGCCATTGGTTTTTATCAACCGCCTCAACCGGTAACACCCGGCTAGTAGAAGCGAAGCTTTCATCCGGAGATGCCACCATCCCTGGCTGAAGGGTTGTCGATATGCGCTTCACTCGCCATGTTTCACGCAGCT